CTCTGTCCTGGTCTCTCTCTCTCTCTCTACCTCCCCCCCCCCTCTCTGTCCTGGTCTCTCTCTCTCTCTCTCCCCCCCTCTCTGTCCTGGTCTGTCTACAGATATAAATGTGTGTATGTGTCACATAAAAACACTCGGAGTCACAGAAAGACTTTAATTCATTACTTTGTCAGACGTACAAACACAAACGCCACTACATGTGATGACACATTGGCGTTTCCATGGTGACAGCAACTTGGAACGATGTGAAATCCCATTAATTTGGTATTGGTGCATTAATCAGGCAGAGTTAATGGGCTGATTGGTGGGTTTATTTCTTGGTCAGCCAGGATTCTGAGAGAGAAATGAAGCACACGACATGAAAGAGCGTTTAAACTCTCGTCACGCCGCTCTGGGGTCAAACGCTCGTTAATCTGTCGTCACGCCGCTCTGGGGTCAAACGCTCGTTAATCTGTCGTCACGCCGCTCTGGGGTTAAACGCTGGACCACCGTGCACAACAAAAAGTCAGCACTGAATATTACTTATTGAAAGCAACGTTACCAAAATCTGCCCGACTGGTTTCGGTGCCTAAACTAACCAAATTTTGACGTTTCACAACTTGTTGCATATTTATTGTTGCTAACCTGACCGTGGAGCTCTATACGTACAAAAAAGACGCTGAAGGTCACCCAGGGCGTTACAAGGTGACACAAAGTTGTGCTGGATTATCTGCTGATGGAGCTGACCTACTCCATGGTGACGTGTTCAGGGTCCAGCTGAAGCTTTCAATCGACCTACAGAGCGAATATTAATTAGCGAGCTGCAGTCATCGGCTAACCGTGAGTATTCGGTCCGAACAGACAAGGCGAGAAATCAGTTCTACGTGATCAGGTTCCTCAGCTGATCTGAGAGCAGTTTAAAGAAGCATGTTTTAGTTCACGGTGTGTTCACGTTGCCTGGGAACAAGCAGCTCTGCAGATAAACAGGAAGTACTTTTACTCTGTTATTGATTGTCAGCGTATAAACATGTAATAACTGGTTAATAACAGTAATAATCTGTACACAGCTGTTTACAGGAGGCGGAGCTCCGCTGACAGGTTTATATGCTGATTATAGATGATCAATAAGTGTTAAAGTGAAGCATTACAAACTTCTGAGATGTTTATCGTTAAATTTAGAGATTAAATATTCAGCATGTTTCAGATTCGATCGATCACTTTTTAACAGCTCAGACGGGATGCAAAATGAATCTTCATGTGCTGCCTCTTTCCTCTCTTTCATCTCGGCTCTTTTAAATTAACAAATCAAACGCACGCCTGCAGAGTCTCCACCCCCCCGAGGACGCTTCATTTCCCTCTCAGCTGCTGATCACTCCCACTTCATTAACTGTACACGATCAATTAAACTTCAAACACATGGGTGAAGCGTTCTCTGTAAGAGGAGAGGAAAGGAAGAACGAGATGAAGGAGGGAAACAGGAAGGAAAGAAGGAGACCCGGAGGGGAAGGGTAAGGAAGCAAGGAGGCATCCACAAAATAGGAAGAGAGGAAAGGAAGCAGAGGGAAGTACCTGTACAGGTGAGTATTAGAATGTACATGTGCAGTAATGTGTGTACTCTAGAACATGTCTGTAGAGACGCAGTATAAGTACACAGTAATCAGGTGGGTCAGTATTCAAGCTATTTGTACTTAAGCGTTAAACTGCAGTAAATCTCCAGAAATGAAAAAAAACCCTCTGCGCTGACATCATTGTCCTCTTAAAGCTCCGCCCGCTCCTGAATCTGTCCGTCAACACCAACCGATGATGATGATGATGATGATTAGTTTAACAGCGAAGTGACGTCGCCCCTCCGCCAGCCGATGATGTCACTGTGATGTCAGACCTCCATGCTCTCCGGTTTGGGTGTCCTGGAGATCCACAGGTTTGATTGGTTGACGGTGGTCTTGGAGCGGGGAGCGCTGCGGGGAGAGAGCATCAGGTTAGGGCCGGGCGACATATCCATGATATTAACTAATGAGCGGCAGGTGATCGGAGGATTATTCTACCGTGGCTTCCAGCTACGCATCACTGATGCCTCCAGCTTTAGGCTATTTAGACTAACAGTAGCTAACGTTAGCGTGCCAAACGTTTCCCCGCTTTTCTCCCAGAGAGTAATGCGGCCACATTAGATTTTTAAGCACATTGGTTATTTTTGGCTCTCAAAAGTTGCAGTCTTGTCCGTTCGTCTCCGTTCGTCTCTGAGTCTCTCTCCTCCAAACCCAAGCAGCTTCACACACAAACATTACTCTGCATTTAAAGAGAGAGTGAAGCGATGCCAGCTATTGACTCCGTCACAGAGCTAAGCAGGGCCCGGAGCCAGCAGCTGCTGTAAATCACCTCTTGTTAACGAGACATCTGAGTGTTTGACCCGTCATAATCACTGAGTAAGCACTGCACGCACACAGAATACACGCCTGCATCGTCAGCAGTAACCGTTGTCACGGTGTAAACAGCAGCAGAGGCCGCTGGGAGGTATAGTTCCTGCCTTACCTTCTACTGAGCATCTGAAAACAACATGTCCCAGAAGCCACCAGGATGAGCAGCAGCAGGGGGATTGTGGGGATGATCACGTACACCAGGACCATGCCTGAAGAGAGACAGAGCCATGAGACCAAAGCAGAGGTCAAAGGTCGGAGGGCAGTGAGAGGTCAGTGTGTACCTGAAGCCCCAGCCATGGTGACCTGAGGGGGAACCTCCTCACTGCCTGCAGACTGTTTGACCACACCTCCGCTTGCTGTCGCCTCTGAGGAGAAACACACGCACAGGTTGACCTCATGGTGGCGCTACAGGAAGAGTGCATGAATCTATATAAAATCTATGTATTAATGTATAATAATGTATATAACATTGATGTATTAATGTGTGATAATGTGCATGAATCTATATAAAATCTATACATTAATGTGCATGAATCTATATAAAATCTATACATTGATGTGCATGAATCTATATAAAATCTATGTATTAATGTATAATAATGTATATAACATTGATGTATTAATGTGTGATAATGTGCATGAATCTATATAAAATCTATACATTGATGTGCATGAATCTATATAAAATCTATATATTACTGTGCATGAATCTATATAAAATCTATGTATTAATGTATAATAATGTATATAACATTGATGTATTAATGTGTGATAATGTGCATGAATCCATATAAAATCTATACATTAATGTGTGATAATGTCCATGAATCTATATAAAATCTATACATTAATGTGCATGAATCTATATAAAATCTATATATTAATGTGTGATAATGTCCATGAATCTGTATAAATCTATATATTAATGTGTGATAATGTCCATGAATCTGTATAAAATCTATATTAATGTGTGATAATGTGCATGAATCTATATAAAATCTATACATTAATGTGTGATAATGTCCATGAATCTATATAAAATCTATGTATTAATGTGTGATAATGTCCATGAATCTATATAAAATCTATGTATTAATGTATAATAATGTATAAATGTGTGATAATGTGCATGAATCTATATAAAATCTATACATTAATGTGCATGAATCTATATAAAATCTATATATTAATGTGTGATAATGTCCATGAATCTGTATAAAATCTATATATTAATGTGTGATAATGTCCATGAATCTGTATAAAATCTATATATTAATGTGTGATAATGTGCATGAATCTATATAAAATCTATACATTAATGTGTGATAATGTCCATGAATCTATATAAAATCTATGTATTAATGTGTGATAATGTCCATGAATCTATATAAAATCTATGTATTAATGTATAATAATGTATAAATGTGTGATAATGTGCATGAATCTATATAAAATCTATATATAATGTATAATAATATAACATGAATCTATATAAAATCTATATATTAATGTATAATAATGTATATAACATTGATGTATTAATGTGTGACAATTTGCATGAATCTATATAAAATCCATATATTAATGTGTGATAATGTGCATGAATCTATATAAATCCATATATTAATGTGTGATAATGTGCATGAATCTATATAAAATCTATATTAATGTATAATAATGTATATAACATTGATGTATTAATGTGTGATACTGTGCATGAATCTATATAAAATCCATATATTAATGTGTGATAATGTGCATGAATCTATATAAAATCTATATATTAATGTATAATAATGTATATAATTGATGTATTAATGTGTGATAATGTGCATGAATCTATATAAAATCTATATATTAATGTTAAATAATGTATATAACATTGATGTATTAATGTGTGATAATGTGCATGAATCTATATAAATCCATATATTAATGTATAATAATGTATATAACATTGATGTATTAATGTGTGATAATGTGCATGAATCTATATAAAATCTATACATTAATGTGCATGAATCTACATAAAATCTATACATTAATGTGTGATAATGTGCATGAATCTATATAAAATCTATACATTAATGTGTGATAATGTGCATGAATCTACATAAAATCTATACATTAATGTGTGATAATGTGCATGAATCTATATAAAATCTATGTATTAATGTGTGATAATGTGCATGAATCTATATAAAATCTATATATTAATGTGTGATAATGTCCATGAATCTATATAAAATCTATATATTAATGTGTGATAATGTCCATGAATCTACATAAAATCTATATATTAATGTGTGATAATGTCCATGAATCTATATAAAATCTATATATTAATGTGTGATAATGTGCATGAATCTATATAAAATCTATACATTGATGTGTGATAATGTGCATGAATCTATATAAATCTATATTTAATGTTAAATAATGTATATAACATTGATGTATTAATGTGTGATAATGTGCATGAATCTATATAAAATCTATACATTGATGTGTGATAATGTGCATGAATCTATATAAAATCTATATATTAATGTTAAATAATGTATATAACATTGATGTATTAATGTGTGATAATGTGCATGAATCTATATAAAATCTATATATTAATGTGTGATAATGTGCATGAATCTATATAAAATCTATATTAATGTAAAATAATGTATATAACATTGATGTATTAATGTGTGATAATGTGCATGAATCTATATAAAATCTATATATTAATGTGTGATAATGTGCATGAATCTATATAAAATCTATACATTGATGTGTGATAATGTGCATGAATCTATATAAAATCTATGTATTAATGTGTGATAATGTGCATGAATCTATATAAATCTATACATTGATGTGTGATAATGTGCATGAATCTATATAAAATCTATGTATTAATGTGTGATAATGTGCATGAATCTATATAAAATCTATACATTGACGTGTGATAATGTCCATGAATCTATATAAAATCTATATATTAAATGTGTGAAAATTTGCATTAGTTTATGTAAAATCTAAAAATCAGTGTTGGGCAGTTACTTACAAAATGTAATACATTATAGATTACTCGTTACTGTTGTTTAAGAGTAATTAATTATATTACAGTTTTACAGTGTCTGAATTGTAATGCTTTAAAACTTTAGCGTTACTTTTGAGTTACTTTCAGTGCTCTTTAACAAGCGCATTATTCAGATAGTAAGATGTGCCTGCAGAGGTGGGTTCTAGAGATGTGCAGATTAAATGGATCTGAGCTCCCCCTGGCTACAATCTCAACCAACCATCAAATTCCAGCAATAAGAAAAATAGTTGGTCTTTTACGTGAAGAGTTTCATTTCTGGTGCTGAAACATTTTGCAGTAGAAAAACAAAACACCACTTAATTTTCAGTTAAAATACGTTGTAATGTGCATTACTGAAATATTACCAAAATTTTATTAGTAATACGTTATATTACTGTGTTACAAAAAGCAGTACATTACCATAACTGCGTTACTTTTGTAACGTGCAACTCCCAACAAAGGTGTTAATGTATATAGAATCTATATATTAATGTGAGTAAATGTATACAATATATATATAAATGTGTGGTAATGTTTTTAAAATATATATATTAGCTCACAGGAGCGATTAGATCTCCAATGATGGAAGTTTGCATTTTGAAATGAAAGGGGAAAATATGCAAGTTATGACCTTATAAAGCCTTTCCTGCTCACCTGTGCCTCGCCCTCCAGGTGTGTCACCCTGTTTCTTCATAAGATGGCTCTCTGAAAGAAAGAAATGAAACAGCAAACTGATGGTACCTGGGGCGAGTTCAGCACCAACAAAATGTTGCAAACCGTTTTGAGATTGAACTCACCTCTGGTGTGTACCAGAGAGTGAAACTGATTGGCTGATGGCACCTGATTAGTTTAGCAGAGAGTGAAGCTGATTGGCTGATGGCACCTGATTAGTTTAGCAGAGAGTGAAGCTGATTGGCTGATGGCACCTGATTAGTTTAGCAGAGAGTAAAGCTGATTGGCTGATGGCACCTGATTAGTTTAGCAGAGAGTGAAGCTGATTGGCTGATGGCACCTGATTAGTTTAGCAGAGAGTGAAGCTGATTGGCTGATGGCACCTGATTAGTTTAGCAGAGAGTGAAGCTGATTGGCTGATGGCACCTGATTAGTTTAGCAGAGAGTGAAGCTGATTGGCTGATGGCACCTGATTAGTTTAGCAGAGAGTGAAGCTGATTGGCTGATGGCACCTGATTAGTTTAGCAGAGAGTAAAGCTGATTGGGTGATGGCACCTGATTAGTTTAGCAGAGAGTGAAGCTGATTGGCTGATGGCACCTGATTAGTTTAGCAGAGAGTAAAGCTGATTGGCTGATGGTACCTGGTTCATATTTGCAGATGAAATTGTGTTTCATGTTGCAGCGGTCGTCGTTCCATTGGTAGAGATAAGCCCCGCCCAGACCAGGAAGTGCAGTTGGCTGATGGTACATCACAACGCAGGCCTCTCCTCCGCAGGACGGCTCGTCGAAATACCAGTTCCTACAACATCATCATTAGTCCTTGGCTGTATGCTAAGCCCCGCCCCCCTTAGTGTTTCTCTGCCCTGCAGGTGTGCAGTTTGTCCGTTATTGTCAGATATTTCACACTCGACCTTCTGATGCCTATTTTAGGAGTGTGTCACTGCACATATTCTTTTTTTATTCAACATTGAAGTCAATTTAATATTTATATATTTTATGTTTATTGGTATGCACCAAGTCACCAGAGAAAATTCCTTGCATGTATAAACCTACTTGGTGATAAAGCCGATTCTGCAACTTTCTCCAAACTACCTCAACAAATAAATAACAAAAAGTTCTAATCACCTAGAGCTGGAGTGACAACCTGATCATCCTGTTTATGTTTGTGGGGCTTCAAGTCAATCAAGTGATGCAGCATTAACATCACACTCACCTGAAGGGGGCTAGACTGCCGTCGGTCCAGTAGTAGAGCTGTGGACAGGAAGTGAAGGTGTTGCTAAGTTCAGTGTGATCGACTCCGTCCCTCCGAGTCAGACCGATCCAGAAATCACCATCTGCTATACCTCCCCCTGCTCCACCCACTGCTCCTGAACGCAGCTCCTGGAGACGAGTGGGAAGAAGAGTAAAATGAGAGGGGGAACACAAAGAGATGAAGAAGACCTGGGCCATATCTTTTACCCGGCACAAAGCGGCGCAGCACCAGTGTCGTTGCTCTTAACAAAAACCTGGTCTGAAATCAATGGCGTAGTATTTCCCTGCTATAGGCGGGTTCCAGTTCGGATAAAGCAGGCCTCATTAAGAAAGACCCTGTGTGCATTTACGCACACGGCACATGATTATTTAAATCTCCCGACACGCCGACAGGATCGGTCAGGATCTAATGTTAATTCTTGTTCTGTGTTCTTCTACACATCCAAAAAGTTTTCACACACAGTCCACGTTCATCCAGTGAAACTAATCAATGAAGAGACTAAATACAACCCTTGTGGAGTTGGACACGCCATTGACCGTGCACTACAGATCATTTAAATAGGTTCCCATGTGTCCGTCTCACCTGCAGCAGGTTTTCGATGTCTCTCTGCTCGTCCGGGCTCTCGATGCTAAGCAGTGACCCGCTGTCCATCTTGCAGGCCTGATTTGCCTCTTGGAAGGCGACACGGCTCTTAACGTCATGGAAATATGCAATCTTATAGCAGGGATGCTCTGGACCACCCAAACACAACGTCTGACCTGAGAGAGGAAGACAGTCATTGTCAATATAGTCCAACTTTGGGTTGGTTGACACCTTAGGCCTTAACTAGGAAGCTTGCTTCATGCTTAATCTTTCATGCTTTGTTCTTTCTTGGTTTCCGACTCGGAAGCTTGGCTCTTTCTTGGTTTCCGACTCGGGAGCTTGGCTCTTTCTTGGTTTCTGACTCGTAAGCTTGGCTCTTTCTTGGTTTCTGACTAGGGAGCTTGGCTCTTACTAGAATGTTTGGCTTTTTCTTGGTTTCTGACTAGGGAGCTTGGCTCTTACTAGAATGTTTGGCTTTTTCTTGGTTTCTGACTAGGGAGCTTGGCTCTTACTAGAAAGTTTGGCTCTTTCTTGGCTTCTGACTAGGGAGCTTGGCTCTTACTAGGATGTTTGGTTTTTCCTTGGTTTCTGACTCGGAAGCTTGGCTTTTTCTTGGTTTCTGACTAGGGAGCTTGGCTCTTTCTTGGTTTCTGACTTGGAAGCTTGGCTCTTTCTTTGTTTCTGACTAGGGAGCTTGGGTCTTACTAGGAAGCTTGGCTCTTTCTTGGTTTCTGACTCGGAAGCTTGGCTCTTTCTTGGTTTCTGACTCGTAAGCTTGGCTCTTTCTTGGTTTCTGACTAGGGAGCTTGGCTCTTTATTTGTTTCTGACTAGGGAGCTTGGCTCTTTCTTGGTTTCTGACTAGGGAGCTTGGCTCTTTATTTGTTTCTGACTAGGGAGCTTGGCTCTGTCTTGGTTTCTGACTAGGGAGTTTGACTTTTTCTTGGTTTCTGACTAGGGAGTTTGGCTCTTTCTTGGTTTCTGACTTGGAAGCTTGGCTCTTTCTTGGTTTCTGACTAGGGAGCTTGGGTCTTACTAGGAAGCTTGGCTCTTTCTTGGTTTCTGACTCGGAAGCTTGGCTTTTTCTTGGTTTCTGACTCGGAAGCTTGGCTCTTTCTTGGTTTCTGACTCGGAAGCTTGGCTCTTTCTTGGTTTCTGACTAGGGAGTTTGGCTTTTTCTTGGTTTCTGACTAGGGAGTTTGGCTCTTACTAGAATGTTTGGCTCTATCTTGGTTTCTGACTCGTAAGCTTGGCTCTTTCTTGGTTTCTGACTAGGGAGCTTGGCTCTTTACTTGTTTCTGACTAGGGAGCTTGGCTCTGTCTTGGTTTCTGACTAGGGAGTTTGACTTTTTCTTGGTTTCTGACTCGGAAGCTTGGCTCTTTCTTGGTTTCTGACTCGGAAGCTTGGCTCTTTCTTGGTTTCTGACTCGTAAGCTTGGCTCTTTCTTGGTTTCTGACTAGGGAGCTTGGCTCTTACTAGAATGTTTGGCTTTTTCTTGGTTTCTGACTAGGGAGCTTGGCTCTTACTAGAATGTTTGGCTTTTTCTTGGTTTCTGACTAGGGAGCTTGGCTCTTACTAGAAAGTTTGGCTCTTTCTTGGCTTCTGACTAGGGAGCTTGGCTCTTACTAGGATGTTTGGTTTTTCCTTGGTTTCTGACTCGGAAGCTTGGCTTTTTCTTGGTTTCTGACTAGGGAGCTTGGCTCTTTCTTGGTTTCTGACTTGGAAGCTTGGCTTTTTCTTGGTTTCTGACTAGGGAGCTTGGGTCTTACTAGGAAGCTTGGCTTTTTCTTGGTTTCTGACTAGGGAGCTTGGCTCTTTCTTGGTTTCTGACTCGTAAGCTTGGCTCTTTCTTGGTTTCTGACTAGGGAGCTTGGCTCTTTATTTGTTTCTGACTAGGGAGCTTGGCTCTTTATTTGTTTCTGACTAGGGAGCTTGGCTCTTTATTTTTTCTGACTAGGGAGCTTGGCTCTGTCTTGGTTTCTGACTAGGGAGTTTGACTTTTTCTTGGTTTCTGACTAGGAGTTTGGCTCTTTCTTGGTTTCTGACTTGGAAGCTTGGCTCTTTCTTGGTTTCTGACTAGGGAGCTTGGCTCTTACTAGAATGTTTGGCTCTATCTTGGTTTCTGACTCGGAAGCTTGGCTTTTCTTGGTTTCTGACTCGGAAGCTTGGCTCTTTCTTGGTTTCTGACTCGGAAGCTTGGCTCTTTCTTTGTTTCTGACTCGGGAGCTTGGCTCTTTCTTTGTTTCTGACTCGGGAGCTTGGCTCTTACTAGAATGTTTGGCTCTATCTTGGTTTCTGACTCGGAAGCTTGGCTCTTTCTTTGTTTCCTGACTCGGAAGCTTGGCTCTTTCTTTGTTTCTGACTCGGGAGCTTGGCTCTTACTAGAATGTTTGGCTCTTTCTTTGTTTCTGACTCGGGAGCTTGGCTCTTACTAGAATGTTTGGCTCTTTCTTGGTTTCTGACTACTCGTCATCCTTCTCCCTCCATCTATACCAAGTAGACTTGACTATATTTGTGATGTGACTGTATCACTGTACATAGAGACAGTATGGCTGGTATCTTTACATCAGTCACTGTGAGAAAACTACAGCAACAAAACACTGGCAGTGTGTGTCACAGTGTGTGTGTGTGTGTGTGTTACAGTGTGTGTGTGTGTGTGTGTGTGTTAGTGTGTGTGTGTGTGTGTGTGTGTGTGTGTGTGTTACAGTGTGTGTGTGTGTTAGTGTATATGTGTGTGTGTGTGTGTGTGTGTGTGTGTGTATGTGTGTTAGTGTATGTGTGTGTGTGTATGTGTGTTAGTGTATATGTGTGTGTGTGTGTGTGTGTGTGTGTGTGTGTGTGTGTTAGTGTATATGTGTGTGGTGTGTGTGTGTGTGTGTATGTGTGTGTGTGTGTGTGTATGTGTGTTAGTGTATATGTGTGTGTGTTAGTGTATATGTGTGTGTGTGTATGTGTGTGTGTGTATGTGTGTGTGTGTTAGTGTATATGTGTGTGTGTATGTGTATGTGTGTATGTGTGTATGTGTGTGTGTGTGTGTGTGGTGTGTGTGTGTGTGTGTGTGTGTGTGTGTGTGTGTGTATGCCCAGTGAATAGCTGCAGTGATTAATACTCAGTCTGGTTAAAACAGCCTCGCACACACTCAGAGCTACTTTAAGTGATTAGCTGGATTCTCTTCTGCACCATCATCACTTTACTGTTAAAGCCACTAAAGAGCTCCATATATCTGTCTGCTATCAGCCCGTCTCCCTCTCTCTCCCTCCGTCTCTCTCTCTCAAACTCAGATTTGCTGTATTAGCGTGCCCGTTATTCAGGGCAGTGCTGCCAACACACGATACAACTCAAAGAAGACAACAGACGGTTTGTACTACATGCTGTTCTCCAGTGAAAGGACTGTAAAAGCACCAATCACTGAAAATCAAAGCACATTAATATACATTATAAGATATAGTTAAATCATTCATCGTAAGAAAAGAGATGAAATCAATGTTTTTAGGGAGCTCAGTATGGTTTCATGTGATTTCTCTTGAAGTGGGAAGGATTAATAAACACTCTAACCCGGAGTCCTGAATGGACATTTAGTAGTATTAGAAGCTGGAGTGGTAGTTGAAACAAAGACAGATGAGCAACAGCATGCAACATTTTAACACTGTGACTCTTTAAAATTAAAACCTTGAGGGGAAAATATGGACAAAAGACAGCTAAATTAAATATTAACAAAACGCTAACATCAGCTGAACTGTCAAATTAAAACGACTCAGGTCCTGTTAACAGATTTAAAATGGAACAGAGCAGAACGTTACTCTACTCTCTGTTTAACAGACTTTGGCTGAATGAACACATATATATAACTAAAGGGATAACACGTATTTAATGGTTCAAATGTTTCTTTAAATAAGAAAAACAGCATTACAGGTTATACAGCTGAACGTGGGCTCCCCCCAAGTTTGGGTTGAAATGACTGATTCTAATATATTGAGGCGTTTTAATGGATTATCAGCATTATTTAAGTTTTTCTTTAAAGGGTAAAAAAAACTTAAAACATAAGATCCTGGGATTTTCAGCTTTAAGGTAAAATGATGGGTTTACTAATTGGTAAAAAACCTTTAATGCACACGATGCTTGAAATCTATAATCCATTACTGATGATTAACCTCAGGTATGGGATGGACTTCATGCAATTTGATCTCATTTAAAAGTTAAAAAACAACCAGAAACCGATAAATAAATAAAAATATTTACTCATTAATTAGTTTGGGCTCAACACAACAACAGCACTGACGGTAAAAGAAAGAGTAAATTACATCTTTACTTTCATTTCTGAACTCACCGCTCACCACCCGCGCTCCACCCCCCCGGGCGACCATCGACGCCATGACGACCCCGAGGGTTACCTGCATCACGGAGCAAAACACCGTCATTCTGGAGGTTTGTTTGTTTGTTGTCTTAGCGAAAAAAGTAAATAAAGTGTCTCTTCGGGCGTCGATGGTTACGTCTCCGTAAAGGTTTGATTTTCTCACAAAAGTCCAAAATCAAAGCTCTGGAGTCGTTTTTCTGCCTTTATGTCCATTTTCCTGCTCTTCCTCACTTCCTGTTGTCTCTGCTCCCTCTGATGTGAAGCGTGAGGAGGAGAGAGCGTTTCTGCTGCTCACGCCGACTCCCCCTCTCTCTCCTCCCCCTCTCTCTCTCCCTCCCTCTCATCGATCGGCCCCTCACAGCCCCAGATGTAACCTCCTCTTTCATTAAGCCCTGGGGGGCCACACACACAGTTTAATTCACTTACACGCAGGAAGCTGATTGGTTCCCAGCAGAGCCGCTGATCAATAGATGAAAACTCACAGTTCCTCTGATGCTCGCCGTTAAGACAAACACTTCAGATCTCGGTCTCCACATCGATCCATGTGGAGCCGGTTCCCTCCCGTCACGCCTCACACCTGAGGACAGGTAGATATCTGGGTTGGAGTCTCAGGCGCTGAAGAGGATCCTCGTCTTCATCAGGACTGTACGGGCACATCAGAGGCGTCACTCGCTTGTTTCTGGTCTTCCAGCTTCATAATGACGCAGAGATGTGCCTGATGTCGGCGGAGGTTCATCCAGCTCATGGTTACATTACATTTATTCATTTATTTAACGCTTTTATCCAAAGCAACTTACAATCGCTGTACATGTCAGAGGTCACACGCCTCTGGAGCAACGAGGGGTTTAGTGTCTTGCTCAGGGACACAATGGTGGATGTCTCACCAAAGGCAGGCATCTTCTCTATGCGCCATCACCACCCACAAAGGTTACCAAACGAAGGTTAAAATGAAAAGCAGCTGGACCCGGCTGAAGAGACTAGAAGACGCCCCGTCCCTCTTCTGAGAGGCTTCTTCAGTTCTGACTGTATTATGGACTCTTTGACCTCTGTGGCGTCGCTGCGTCTTCAACCAGGTCCCGCTGCTATTTACTTTAACCTTCTTTGGAAAAGATGCGCATCTCTTCGTTCCTTTGACGTTGACGTTCATTTATAAACCAATCAGTGTCGAGCACGGGGGGACGCAGCCCAGATAGATGATGACAGGCAGTACGTCATGTAAAGTTCTTCAGTGCGCTCATGTAGGGCTGGACAATTAACGAAACCGACGGAATTTCACCACGTCGGCTATTAATAAATATTTTCCCTGCAGCGTGTTCATGTACTTTCCCCTTAAAAACATACTACTGTGGGTGTGGTCACGTGACTCCGCCCCTTCCAGTCCTGCTGAGTCAGGCCGAGGTTACCTGCTGGCGCTAACATCCACGTTACTGCCGCTCGCTCTCATTCGCTCCACCACTCACTCGTTACGGACACTCAAGACCTGACGTTAACCCCGCTGCTCTGATGACAGCGGCTGTCAGGTAGATGGCCTTTGGTAAACGAGGAGAGGAAGCTAGCAAAGCGCGTGTCGTCTGCTCGCACAGTGCGAGGTGAAAATCAGTAGTTCCGCACTGAGTTTTGTGTCGATCGACGTTGCAAACCTGAGATATGACATCACATCCTGTTTTTAGCAAACATTTGTTATCGGATCAAAATTCCCTCAGAGATCTGGTGCCGATCGAAATTATGAAATGGGTGTGGCCTATACGAGAGTCAGCTCGAACGCGTGGATGTAAGGTTTTCGATATGCGCCTTCCGCTAATAGCGCCGCCTAGAGGTAAAAGTGTGCGAATGTTTTCACCTGCCGTTGCTGTGGTGACCTTTCTGCAGCACTTACCGTCTTGGCCGCGACCTGGAAGAATAAAAATCATAAAAATCCAACGAAACATCTGTGAACATTTCAGTAGGGTTAATAAGGGGCCCAGGTTAGCCGTGCACTGGACACAGACAGAAAATGAGGTCGAGGTTTTTCATCGCCTCCAGCCAGACCAACCAAACCGCTGACATCATCACCGCCATCATCACCATCAGCCTGTCATTTCTGCAGCTGAAGCTAAAAAGAGTTTTTGCCGCTGGGCTCTCAGTGTCTCAGCTGTAGTACCAGAAGTATCGATGGCAGTAATACTACGAGAGAAAAGTACCTCGTAGTACCAAACGCTGTGTCAGGGGAAGGAAACAAACCCTTTAATGTTTCTCTGAGCTCCTGTTATTGATTTGAGGTGATCATAAACTGAATCATAACACATCTGAAATGACAGCCGCAGCTTTAAACGGCGTGATGGATTTCAGCGCGGCCGCAGATGTTGGGAATCTTTACGATCGTTAGGGAGCGTGGGGGGGGGGGGGGGGGGCAGAAACACTTTATTGTTCCTCTGATGGAGAACGGAGATCAATAGAAGCCTGAGCTGCTCTCAGCGCCGCTCACTAGTCTGGATTGACCGCTTTCAGGCGTGCAGACGGTCCCTGAACGCAGCACGAAAACACTGAACTCACCACCTGTGAAACCTCCGCACACTTTAATATACACACATTTATTTTTTATTTACTTATTTAATGAAATTAATTGTTCTCATGTTCTTTATATGGCAACACTGTTGTCATACATTCATGCCAATAATGAGAAACACATTTTCTCTCTGACGTTGACACATCGTTCAGAGAATGAAACCATACAACAAACCGTTGTTAATTAACTACAGACGCAGAGACATTAATCAGCTGAGTGAGTACAGACAGTGTGAAGCTGACGTTAAGGCTCTACGGCCTGGTGTTGTACTGTAAGTGTGTTAAAGTGTTCCAGTAATGTGTGTGTGTGTCATCGGATCATTTTACCGACACACTTAGACCCTGACACTCGACCCGAGTCTTTAACACGGTTACGTGAAACAATCAGACGCTTCAGGCTGATGTGTGAACGCGTTAACGAATCACCAAGCCGGACGTCCGGTTTCAGAAAGGCGGTTTAAACTCCTGCTGTGAAGCCGCGGATCACGATCCACGTGCTCACGCTCTTCGGCCCCGGGGACCGCTCTGCCCGTTGACGATTAACACAAGATGATGCTGTTTCAGATGTTTATCGGTCTTCCTGCTCGGCCACACACACACAGCTCAGCTGAACGCCACGAGTCAACGAGGGCTTCTGTGACACCACCGGACCACCTGACAGGATCAGCGCTGTTCCTGTGCAGCCGGCAGGCCTCCGTTCAACAGCTTTATCACGTAACAGTCAGCAGGACGTTAGCTAACATTAGCAACATTTTTCTCAACGGAGTGAGTTCTATACTGCGCTGTGATTGGCCAGCTGTGTATTAGGGGCGTGGCTTGTCACTAAACCTGAGTTCATTTGAACTTTACTGGAATTTGTGTCTCATTGAGAGGAAAACTATTTACCCTGAAGAGAGTGAGGGACCGTTAAGCTTCATTTATTATCCTGCGTAGGGGCTACGTGCGCAGCTACATGCGCAGCTACGTGCGCAGCTACGTGCGTGCATCTATACTTGTGTGTCCGTCGTACCGCAATACTACCAAACGCTAGTCTGCGGTAGCGCTACAGCGTCCACTGTGTTGATGTTTGCTAACGAACAATGCTAACAGGGCAGCAGCGTGCTGCCTTCATCATGCAGAGGACAGGGAGGCGGTCCAGAGCCGAGTTAGCTACGTTTTACTGTTCACACTCTTTACTTCATAGCCAGCGTTGTGTCGCAGACGGCGATCACCGCTCTGTGCCGACGCTGTGAGAGAAAAGGTCGCACTGACAGTGGTGGACACAGCAAAGTTTGTGACAGAGGTTCATCCGATCGTCCTCGCTCGCCACGCACGCCGCACGGAAACCACGCCTGACCCGGCGTCAATTCAGCCCGCCTCTACAGCTCCTCCCAGATCAACACTGAGAGTCTGAAAGTGTTTGTTGACCAGAGGCTGAACTCTGACAGGAAGTTCTGAGTTCAGCCGACAACCACTCACGACCTCACTGTGTGTAAACAAGAGATTTACATAATGAAGTCGTGGAAACACACACACACACAGTAACACACACAGTAACACACACAGTAACACACACAGTAACACACACACACACACACACACAGTAACACACACACACACACACACACACAGTAACACACACACACACACACAGTAACACACACACACACAATAACACACACACACACACACACACAGTAACACACACACACACACACTCACAGTAACACACACACACACACACAGTAACACACACACACACAGTAACACACACACACACAGTAACACACACACACACACACACACAGTAACACACACACAGTAACACACACAGTAACACACACACACAGTAACACACACACACACACACACACACACAGTAACACACACAGTAACACACACACACACACACACAGTAACACACACACAGTAACACACACCACACACACAGTAACACACACACACACACAGTAACACACACACACACACACAGTAACACACACACACACACAGTACACACACACACACACACACACAGTAACACACACACAGTAACACACACACACACACACACACACCTGTTAGATCTCTCCCAGTATTGATCGGCTGCAGGCGGCTGATCGTCTCCAGAAACACACTGCACTTACCGCTGATTACCACGCACACGCACTCATGCACACGCACACAGAGGCTTTCTGCTGTGTTATCTGGAGCTGCAGGTCAGGGAGGAGGGTTGGTCCCTGGTCTTACTGGTCTTACTGGTCGTACTGGTCTTACTGGTCGTACTGGTCTTACTGGTCGTACTGGTCTTACTGGTCGTACTGGTCTTACTGGTCTAGTTACGGCTGATTTTCCAACCAGGCGTCTGCAGAAGCAGCTCAGCGGGGTTCAGGCGGGATCACCGCATCATCCTGCCAACATTAGCTCCAGAGGAGTTTCACAGCCGCCACAGACTGTATATAGGAAGTGGGCGTAGTCATGGTGACGTCACCCGCTGGGTTGTGGACTGCGGAAGCCTTGAATTTTGGCCGATAGGGCGCCGCTATGTTGAGTTTTTGCAACCAGCGGCACCGGACGCGACCGTATTTGGACGAGAGGGTGCAGCTAGCTAGCTTGATTAGCTAGGTGTAATTCACATTAACTGTGGTGTTAGCTGGGATGCTAACTTTAGCTAGCGACAAACAGGCGGCTGGCTGGTTTCGCCACGGTTACCTGTCTGCCCTCCTGGCAGCTCGTCCACAGAGGGTTCAGAGCTCAGCGGCCCCTGACCTCCGCCGGCTCCCCGGGGGCCCCAGATCCAAGTCCCTGATGCTGCGTCCAGAGGGACGTCTGCACCATCAGCCTAAACGCCATAATCCAAGCACACGTTCATTCTGGGCCGCTACGCTCCTCCAACGAACGCCGCCTGTCTCTGCCATCGCTTCACACAAAGCGACCTCAGTCCCTGTTCTCATCTGTGACACCACGACGGTGGAACGAGCTGCCGCACGCCATCGGAG